AACTTTTGACAGAGTTCAAAATGAAAAGCATTTAAGTATTCTTAAGACCAAAAACATAAATAGTAGAACAAAAGAAATCAGATCTAGAATAGAAACGGCTAGAAATACGTTCATAAAATTGAAGAACTTACTTTCCAACCGTAACCTTAATCTAGAGATCCGCGCAAGAATGCTACGTTGTTATATATATATATATATATATATATATATATATATATATATATATATATATATATATATATATATATAATTAATTTTAAAATGTAAATTGTTTAAGATCATTATTTGTATTTTGCAAGAAATTTGAGCGATATCGTATATTAATATCGTATTTCTTGCGAACGAGTTTTCTCATTGCTATTTTTTTACCAGGTTTACTTAGTTACAATAGTTCAAACTAAAATGGTGAAAAAATAATTTCATCAATTGCCTAATCACATTTTAAATTTGTCGAAATAATTATCGTCGTTATTTCAATCGTGTACCAAATCATTTTGTAGTGAAGTTATAATCACTTTTTTAAATAATAGATACGATTTGCTTGATTACTTTACATAGTTAGTGTTGAGGTTTTGGGAGGTTGTGACATAATATTGTTTAAACAATTTTAACGAAAGGTAAGGTATATTTAATAAATACAATATTTAAATTTGTCATAATATGATATATTATATTGTTTTTTGATTTTGAGATAAAATTTTGTTACGTTATTAACATAATAATTATTTATTAATAGTATCGACATTTTTTTTTCATACCTGTCTCTCTGTTCTTCATCATGGATTAGGATTATTATAATAAATGCACTTAGTGGGCTTAACAAATCACCTTTCCCGTGACTCCGCTTTGTACTGATATGGAGCTGTGTTAGTTTTTCTTTTAACTTACCAGTAACTTTTTCAAAACAAACAAATAATTTGGATTTTTATGTTATGCATCAAGAAACTCAAGCCTTGCTAGGTAGAAATATTATTAGGTGTTATAATATGGGTTTCAGGGAATTAAATTTTATTGAAGCAGATAAAAATAATGGGGTGGTTAATGAAAAAGTTTATAATGGTTAACGAAAGAATAAATTTCAGTTAAAATTTAATATTAAACCAGATGCCAGACATAAATTTTTTAAACCCAGACTGGTTCCTTTTTCTTTAAGAAATAAGGTATAGATGGAATTAGATAAAATGGTCCAAGAGGGTATTATACCTGCAGTTGAATTTTCGTAATAGGGAACACCCATAGTACCGATTTTGAAAAATGATGGGGGTGTTAGGATTTGTGGTAATTTCAAAATAACTATCAATCCTTTTATCGAAGCGGATAAATATCCATTACCACGAATCGATGATTTATTTGCTAAGTTACAGGGTGGTCAAACTTATCAGCAAGTTGTGATTCATCCATATTTTCGGAAATATACGGTTCTTAGTACTTAGTACTTATTTACATTTAATCGTCTACCGTATGGAGTTGTATCAGGTCCTTCCCAGTTCTAACGTATTATGTTATTTTAAAAGAATCATATTCCGCCAAAAACTCTAGTAATCCAAGGCACTTGCCATTGCTAGTAGAACCAAATTTTTCGTCGGTTTCTCTAAAAGGTAGTCCCCCTAATGACACTAACGACTCTTTGTAATATGTTTCGCCAATATGTGGTCTCATGTTCAGTATGTTGCAACACAGAATCGTCTATCTTTCTCATACTCCCTGCCTATATCTTTAAAGGATGTTCTGATATATTTCAAAAACCATTATTATCACATCTATTTAATCTATCTCTTAAAACTCACCTTTCCAGACAAACTCAAAGAGGCTACCATTACTCCAGTTTTTAAATTAGGTAATAGAAACAATATAGAAGACTATCGTCGTATAAGTATCCTTAATTCCCTGGCTAAAATATTTGAATCTATTCTCTATATGAATATACTGAAAAATTTTGAAAATGAATTTGCTCCAGAACAACATGGTTTTTTGCCTGGGTTATCCACAACTAGTAATCTGTGCATTCTTTCTAATTTTGCTAGTGAGGCAATAAATAATAAACTCCAATTAGATTTAATAATGACTGACTGCTCAAAGGCATTTGATATGGTTGACCATGGCATTCTTTTATCGAGATTGAATGAGTTTGGTTTTTCGCATGATGCTTGTACATTTATAAAATCGTATGTGGAATCAAGGTTTCAACGAGTCAAAATTGGTAGGTGTTTATCAGATAAATTTCAGGCTACATCTGGTGTCTCCCAAGGGAGCAACTTAGGGCCTTTGTTTTTCTTAATTTTTGTCAACTCACTACAACAATCTCTTAAATTTTCTTCTAAGTCTGATCTATGCTGATGATTTTAAGCTTTTTAAGACTATACATACTTTAAATGATTGTCAGTTACTACAGGACGACCTGACCTCAGTTGTGGAATGGTTTAGGGACAACAATATGATCTTGAATATTACGAAGTGTGGAGTCATATCCTTCACTCGCAAAATTGATTACATTGAAAATAATTATAGAATTGACAATTGTGTAGTATCTAGGAAAACCAAATGTAAAGATCTGGGAATATACCTACAGGCTAACGTGAAATTTAATGAACACTATATAAATATTGTTAATAAGGCCTACAAAATATTGGGATTTGTAATAAGAAATTCTAAACACTTTAGTATAAACACAACCATTAGACTATATAACGCTTTAGTCAGACCAAACTTGGAATATGCATCAGTGGTATGGACTCCTGAAGCCAAAGTTCATATTAATCATATAGAAAAGGTACAAAAAAGATTTCTAAGGTATTTATACCTTAAGAAATACAATGTGTATACTCACCTTACGCCATCAAAAGAGTTGCTTCAAATATTTGGCTTGCAGTCATTAGAGCAAAGAAGAAACATGTATTGCGTTGTGTTTATTCATAATATCATTAACAATGTTAAATATAAGACATGTGGTTTGATAAACTTTATTAGGTTTCATGTGCCAAAGGTCAACCTAAGTGTAAACAGTAATGACCTATTTTCTTGTAGTCCTTATAATTCAGGTGCAATAATAAACTATATGCAATATCAGTGCAATGAGTTAATAAAGATCTGTGATATAGACCTCTTTACCTGTAGTGTAAGGGATATTAAAAAATGTTATAAATAAGTATGATAAGTAATGGACTCAATTTTTAATATTTTATTAACTTGTGTCTTTTTATTAATGTGTTTTATTTTGTGTGTTTTTATTTTGTACTTGTGTGTATATTGTATTTTTTGTGTGTATATTGTTATACCAAGTAATGAGCACTCTTACATGTAATTACTACCTAGGTGGTGTTTGTAAGTTTTAATAAATAAATAAAATACTCAATAAATTTCTTGAAATAAAATTTTTAAGATGTTTTAAATGAACGACTGACCTTTCATGACTGTCACATTTTTCTTTAGCCTTTTTCCAGTCATCAAATCTAGTTAAAAAGGAAAAAGTGCAATTTTCGCTTGAAAAAAATCGACAGCATAAGGAAAATAAAGAGCCTGTGCTTTTGGAATAAACTAACCAGTCACGCCGAATTTTTTCACCATTCTTTAAAACCTTGTAGAATAGTGATTTAGTGCAGTACCTGTTTTTTTTCCTATTTTTCTTTTTGAAGATTCAAAGTCTAAAGAATTAAGATCCTGTGTTTTGAATTCTTTTAGAACTTCTACACAATTTTTTGGCCAGAATTTTGAATTTTGCAAATCAACTCGATTAACACCATTTCGACTAGAATTTGACGTTCGGGAGAATCCTTTTCAGGATGTAACTCGATATCACAAAGTGGGTCTGAATTTGCTGTGGATGAATCATCTCGACGTGATGAAGATCCTGCTGCAAATTTTATTTTATTAAAAAAGTAACTAAAACAGTCACATAAACCTACCTTCTAAACCATCTGAAACTGTTGCAATTGGATGGTCTTGAAAAGAAGTGCTCGTTGGTATACTATCTTGTCCGGATTTGGTAAAAAAAGCTGAATTCTGTGTTTTTTTTTAATACTGCATTTAATTTTTGTTGTTTTTCTAACTTTTGTCGTTTCCAAAATGCACCTTCTTCCTTTCCGCTCATTTTTTGGGCTTTTTTTTAATACTGCATTTAATTTTTGTTGTTTTTCTAACTTTTGTCGTTTCCAAAATGCACCTTCTTCCTTTCCGCTCATTTTTTGGAACGTCACAAAAACAATTCACTAATAAATAAGTAAAATTTGAGACTATAGTTGGGCCGCTGAAAAGATGGAATGATCTCGTGAATGGCACGCACTCTTAAAATTCGTCTACCTATGTTATCACTTTTCCCACGTTTAAACCTCTCAACAATAACGAACATCATGATACATAAAACATTTGAGTTATAGTTTCATGACACAAAGAATGACGGTGTAAACAGTTTCTTAGAAGGTCTAGTTTTGACCGCCTGTCGATGCTTGCATTGAGTGATCATGCGACCTTGGATTTCATCTTTTAAGCGGCCAAGGTATAGTCTCAAAAACTGCGCTAACACGACTGACGACATGGCGTATTGGAGCCGGACACGCTGCCGCCAGGCGCAGTGGCGCTGGCCGATTTCCCGGAAACATGAAACGTGTTTTTGTTCGACCTATACCGCAGGCACGGATCTTATCGGTGACTAGACGAAGTTTTATTGCCATGCTATTTCAGAAAATCAACCTCATAAATTTGAAATATCCACATATAGAATTAAACGTGATGGGGGCGACGTACCGGCTCTCAAAATAGTCCCATAGCCCCTCCCTCCCTTAATCCCTCACTGTCAGCTATTCCTCATATACCTTTTAGAATATTCAAAAACCTGTATAAGATTTTTTCATTTTTTTAGTACTGGCCTATAAGGTAGTCTTGGATTGGACTAAGAGCTTTTTCAATTTCATATATTCTTATATAATATGTCATTCAATAAAAATGATAGCGAGCATAGTAATAAATATTGATTAGCTAATTTAATGAAATGAATATTTTATATTTATTAAATATTCTGTAATATGTTAACTCATTTTTATTTTTCAGAAAAGAGGAAAATGCAAGGCGCTAAACGCGTTTTGGTTTTCTGCTTGATGACAGCCATTCTTCCGACGATCCTGATAATTATACCACTGTATCTCCGACATCATGTCTTCGCTGACATCGTGTATCCCGTTTCCGAATCAGATGTTTTGGCGATATCCGAAGGAGTTTCCTCCATTTTTTGTGAATCGATAGGATTGAAGATGAACACCAGTTTTAATGCGTTTCAATTACCGAGTAAGCCAAAGAAAAGTGGAAAAATTAAACATATTAGGTATGTAGTCTGGTTTATATAGAGATACACAAAAATAAATATAAATCACTATAAGTTACACTTAAAAATGATATATTCTAATTAGTCCAGTCGTCAGAGATTTAATCTCTCAAAACGAGACGAACAAGCTGAAAACGGAAAAAATCGATTTATCAATAATCTGTACATCATAGAAAAAAATGTTTCAAATAAAAAAATGTGGCTAGAGAATACTGTTAGTTTGCAGTGACGAGCCCAAAAGGTATTTTTTCTTCTAACGTCAAATAATGATGACATTACTTATCTAACTTGATCCTGTCAAAGTTTGATGTCTCCGCTGGCAGCAGTTTTTTTTTTCCATTTCTTTACGGGGCGGAGAGAAAAATGTTGTCATGGCAACAATATGAAACATGTCACAAAGCAACAATACAAATGTCATTAACAACAATTAAACATCGTTTTTATTTATAGTAATGTTAAAAGTACAATTAGTTAATGAGGCATTTTCAAAATTGAAACCGTGCAAAAATGTTCCCGACTCTTGATACGCATTGGTAATTGTTGATGATACTGATGGTCGAGAACAACTTTCAGCAATCATTCCCGATGTTGGCGAATCATGAGGGTTTAAAATTTTTTGAGCATTATCTTCTTTTTTCTTATTGAATCCTCTATATATCCTTCGGCAACTGTGCTTGATTTCCAGCCCCATGTCGTTTGAGGCATTCTAGATTTCCGCCTCCATCAATTAAAAGTGTTGCTGAAGTTCGTCGTAAAGAGTGACCCGTGTATGCGCTTGCATCGTTTAAATTTAAATAAATAGCTACTTTTTGGGCTACTGCGCTGATCGAATGTATTCCCATGACGCTTCGGCAACACTTTCCATTTTGGTACTTGATAGAAAATCGGTTTTCTGTGAAATTTTCAGGCCGCAGTGATGCATACTTTTTATACAGTTTAATGTAGTTTTGACCATATATCGTAAAAGATCTAATTTGTCATGTTTAACTGTCTGGGATTTTGATAATTATTACATTTTCTTTATCCTCAATGTCCACAGTCTTCATTTTTACCATTTCGTCGCATCGACAGGCGCCGGTAACCCCAATTAACAAAACAATCTGAAATATTTTTAGAATTTAGTAGAGTATACTACATGCTTTGCAATATAATTTATTTTACCTTTAATTCTAAATACAACTTATTTGGCGCTTCAAACAAAAATTTATCAAACTCGTCTTTAGTGAAAACTTTAGACTTCTTTGCAGTATATCCTTCGCTTGTTTTTTTCAGAAAGGCACGTAACTTTAAAAATTTGCTTATATCCTCATTTTTTCTAATAACTAACTCGGATTTTATCATAGAGTATCGTGACCACATTGTAGAAGATTTCCATTTATTTTCATTTTCCATTATATTAAAATATGCCAGTAAAACGTCTTCGGTAACTTGCCGTACTCCTCTTGTACCGCACCACTCTTGGAAGTGCTTGTACGTGTACGCTAACCGATACTTTATTCCGGACTTGGAGGGCCCCAAACGTGCTACTGAATCATTAGCCGCGGACTCAATTTCGTTTAGGTATTCCATTTTCGCACTAAATTTGCGCCTGCGGTTGCAACAACAATAAGCTGTCTTTAATAGTTGCAAACAACTGTCAAACAACTGTAACCAGGGAGACGCAAATCCCACCGACGACTTAATTATTTTAATTTCTAACATCTAGACGACTTTGATAGATGTCACAGTTAATTTCGAGTAAAAATAGCGTATGAATTGTACTATTTATGGTTGAAAATTGCTACGTTTGAAGAAAAAATAGTGTACTTTATTCGGCAAAGAAGCGACTTTTCTTGACTTGCCCTCTATTACGCGCCTCATTTCGTTCGGCGCGTAATATCGGGCGCGTCAAGAAAAGCCATGCTTCTCCGCCTCATAAAGTAATATATTATTATTCGAAGAGATTAATATCGATATAGAACTGTAGGAAAATATGCCACCAAAATTGCAAAATTTTTATTATAGATTTTTATTTGAAACATCTTCTAAAGAAACATTACACATTATACTATAGTTACATAGTTTCGTTTTATCAATTTTAATGATCGTGATACTAATAAATTATTATAATATATAATTATAATCTTTTTTTAACAATTTTCCATTTTCGGTAAACTTTAATCTACGTTAAAATTCAGACAGCCAATTATTCCGTAAAAAAGTGACAAAAATAAAAGAAAATATAAGACATTATAAATAAAGGTATTCAGCAATATTGTGACCTCAAAATATCTTGATATACATTATTTTGTTAAATTTGTTTTATTTAAAAATTTACAATCTTTTATTTACAGGAGGATTTGTTACCTGTATGTAACTTTGTTACATTGTAAATTTATTAATAGATAATATTATTAATAATAAGAGATAGCCCACTAAAATTCACCGTTAGGATTTTCCAGGATGGACCTTAATGTCGTTGTCGTGGAAGCATTTCCCATGACATACGATTTTCATGGGAATAAGCCACAATTTAAATATAAGTAAGTTTATTGACGTTTCAATTTCCACTTCGAAAATCGTTCTCAAAATACAAAAATGACTTTTTTCACAACACTCTTCACCTTTAAAACCCATTTTAATTTTTGTCGATAGGATACTCTAATGAAAAGATATCAAATTTTCACCCTCGAACTAATAAAAATTTTATTTAAAAAGTTGATTTCGCGCGGCTACCTGACATTCTACATCACTGGTGGCTTTAACTGTTGATTCAAAGATAACGGTTCATTCTCCACGAAAAGTGTTAATTTTTGCTCAAAATCATCTAAACTTCATTTTTTTCTACGGCCTACAGATTCTTGGTAAATCTACTTTTTCCGTTTTTACCCACCCTTTTGACAGGTATTTTTGATGGAAATCCCGGGTTATAAGTGGCAAACATTTTCAGCAAAATTCAGCTTGGTCGTATGATTTTTGGAGGTTCAGTGGCATTTTCGTCTCTGATGACTAGGGTACTAGGCGATAAATCCCCACAAACTTTCTGGGACTTATTAGCGTGAAGATAATTATTTAATAAAAAGTTGTATTCCTTTAAGAACAGATATGAGTAAAATGATCGATATGCATATTTAGATATTGTTCTGAAGCTATTTTCTTGTGGAATTTTAAATTAATTACTATTTAACTGGGAATAAGCCACAATTAAAGATAAAAATACGTTTATTGACGTTTCAATTTCCACTTCGGAAATCGTTCTCAAAATACAAATAGTAAATTAAACAAATTTTGTTTTTTGTTACATAGTGAAAAATTCTTCTAATAATTTAATTTTATCTGAGTCATTTATATTGACAATTCAGACATACATTATGCATTTTAAAGTAGACGACTTTAAAATGATATTGCCAATAGTGTTGAGTTGCGCTCCTGGGACGACTTTACTTATAAGATAGTTCATTCGATTACATGAAATCAACTTTAACTTAAGAATATCCGTCAGAAAAAAATCATAGCATGTAATTCGTCTTTAAAAAGACAAACACATGACATGATGACAGTAAAATTCTCCTCTTAGTGATTCCATAGTAAATTATGAGGGAAAAACCAGGAAAAAAACCTCATAATACTATCCCGACATGGTAAGTAGTTGTTCGTGTATTTAGTTTACCTTAAACAAACACCAAAATTCTGATTTTATATGTTTCGTTATTTAAAAAACATAAATGATGTATCCTCTATACAGATTGAACGAAATAAATTCGGAACATACGAAATATTATGTATTTCGGCTCAATTCTGCTGTAGGTGGTTGACCAACAAAAGGTTGTCAAATAATTATATTATAAAAATCCAATACTTCAGCGGGCTGCTAGATTCTGAAATCATAAAAATTGAAAGCTACACATAAATCTACGAATTTATTATGCTGTCAAACCACTTATAGTCCAGGAAATGAAGCATTTCACCTCGCAATTTTTTCGTAGTGAGTGGATGACTTGAAATTTTAACACAAGGTAGGTAATAGCCAAGGATCAAAATCTATATCGAACCAAAGTGCGCCAAAGCCTTGGGGGTGGTTGCCACCCCATCCCGGGGGTGAAATTTTTTTTTTACGTTTTAACTACAGGTTTCTATTAAAAAAGTGATTATAAACAAAAAATGTTCTATACATTTTTTTTGTTAAACTGATATTTTTCAAGTTATTCGCGATTGAAAGTAAAACTTTTAGACGAAAAAATCGACGTTTTTAATCGATTTTTCGCGAATAACTCGAAAATGGTGCATTTTATCAAAAAAATTGTAGGAAACAAATTTGTAGCTTTTAAAAAGACAAATACAATTCATTTTTTAAAATGTTTTTGCGATATAACAGGAACCGAAATACGGCCTATCAATGTTCAGCGGTTTTCTTCAAGTGCAAAATTTGAATGATTCAAAGTCAAATATCGGGAAAATGATGAATTTTTAAAAGAAAACTCAACCTTTTTTAAAAAGCATAAATAGACATATCATAAAAAAAGACTCTAGCTAAAAAATTAAGTGAGTTATGATGAAAATAAGGTCAATACCTCATTTTTTTACGAAAAAATCGATGAAAACAACACCCTAACCACCAACATAATTAAAATCGATCTTCACACTTCTGCAATTCTCTTTGTACATGTATTGTTAATACGTCCAAGAAGTTTGACCCATTTAAAATGCTTAGTTTTAGAAAAAGTACAGCATAAAGCGAGAAACGATTTACAATTTCATATTTTTTACCTTTAAATTAAATATAAATATAAAAAAATATAAATGTACTAAATTGTAGCTGTTATAATGACTAAAATTTTCCTTTATTTAGATTTGTTGTACAATGAATATTTATAGCCGTTTAAAGCATCGATTTACGATCAAGCACCATCTTTTTCGAGCCCTTTAAACTCACCCCATTTATAAACCAAGGGTTTCAAAAAGATTTAATTCACAGATCCTTGTAGCTCTTAAAAACCTCTACAAAATCGTTTTTGAAGAAATACTCTATCATTAAAAATGAAGAAAATACGTTAAAAAAACCAATTAATTTTTTTCCGGAAAATTCCATTGGTATAGTACAGTACATTTCGGAGCATAATAATCTACAAAACCGGTATAATAGGTAGTGGGGCGTTATACATTCGAAATTTTAAGCGTTCTTATTTTGAAATCCCATACAACAGAATAAAACATCTGCTCATATGTCTATGGCTTGGCAATGAAAATATCAGAGCAACAGGTTGGGTATGGTATTCCAAAGATGGTTTGTCATTACCCGTACGCATGAACAAACAACCTGCATTCGATGAACTTTTGAAAATTATTTTTTGCCAATGCAAAAAATGATGCGGCATTTCATGTGGGTGCAGAAAAGTTGGTTTATACTGTAACTCTACCTGTTCTGGGTGCTCAGGTGAAGGGTGCAATAACAATCCACCAATAATTAAAGAAGATGAGGATGACATAGATCACGATGAAGATGTAATTGATGACGAATAAAATTAATATTATAATTGTTTTACCTATAAATGTAAATATTTTCAACTATTTATGTAAATGTGTAAGAATATATGGTGCCTTTTTATGTTGATAAATTTTTTTGTATTTAATTCTACTTTTTTCAATTTATATCTATTAAATTAGTTTATAAAAACTGCAATGTTGTAAAGGGTGATTTTCAAAAGTTGAAAAGTTGCAAAATTTTGGCAAAAAATTGTTTTCACCTATAGCAGTCATAACAATTGATTTCTAAGGGTTGAAAATGTATGAAATTGTATTTTAAAGTATAAAAAATTACTATTTAACTAATCCAAACCAAATTTCACTCATCTTAAGATTTGTAATGTTATTTTACAATTTTTGAAAATTAGTGGTAGTTTTTACCCCTAAGAATAATCAGGGTTCATCGGCATGACGTAAACTATAAAGCAGAGGGTGAGTTGAGCTTAATTCCAAATTTTTATGCAAATCGTTCCAAGGCGAAATCATTTTCTTCACATTACTACTTTTTTTTACATTAATCTCTAACAAGCGTCGCTTTTTAAGGGTTGAAATATGATGGAACTTTATTCAAAAGCACGAAACTATCATTATTTAATTAATTCAAACCAAATTTTAACCATATTCAGGTTAATATGTTATTTTATAATTTTTGACAATTAGGGGTAGTTTTCACCAATAAGAACAATCAGGATTCGTCGACATGACATAAACTATAAAGCAGTTGGTGAATTGAGCTTAAATCCAAATTTTTATCCAAATCGATCGAAGGCGAAATCATTTTTTAGAATTAGTAATTTTTTTACATTAATCTCTAACAAAGGTTGCTTATTAAGGGTTGAAATATGATGGAACTCTATTCAAAAGTATAAAATAATCATTATTTAACTAATTCAAACCAAATCTTACCCATATTCAGGTTTATTATGTTATTTTATAATTTTTGACAATTAGGGGTAGTTTTCACCCCTAAAACCCTTCAGCGCACTTTGGTTCGATGAAGATTTTAATTCTTGGGCTATCACCTACCTTGTGTTAAAATTTCAACTCAATGCATGCAGGACGAAAAAATTGCGAGGTTTTAACTTTTTTCGAGCTTCATTTCCTGAACTATTATCGCTTCCTTTACGCAAACAACTTGTTGCGAGACAGATACACCAGACATTTTATACAATGTCTATACTCAGGTATGGATTTATTTTGTCCAAGTTTTATATTGGTCCACTATTTCAAATTCAGTTCAAACAGACATATATTAAATTGTATGATCCGTTTTAAATTCGTTCAATCTGTATGTTACTGACTTACCAATACTGGTAATTGTGGCTTATTCCCAGTTAAATAGTAATTAGCATATTTAGATATCTAATAAAAAGCTAGAAATAAACAATTTTTTTATTAGGTTAAAGAAATCGATGACTTTACCAGATGACACGTTGGAATATTGGGGATTTTATTTACTTCAGGGATCTACAGTTAAATTAAAGGTAAGAATGACAATAGTGCCACTACACTACAGTTACGAGTATATTAAAAACACTGGAACAATTTAAATATGACATCCATCCAGACTTAGTTAAGATATGCAGAGTGTTTTACGTAGCCCACTTTGAAAATAATCGAATTTAAAAGCTGGAAATATTATGTATCACTTAATAAATGTAGCTTGTCTACAAGTCCCTTCCCATATCAGTTGGCCCAACGTTAGATTGATAAAAAAATTAAATTTTAGACAACAAAAATAAAACCGCACCGTAAATTTTAGAAATTTTAATGCATCTAACAACATTTTTAAATTTCCTAATTATAGAAAACATTTTATAACGTAATAAAAACTATTGATTAAACAGAATAATAATAAATTTAAAAAACGCATAGAATATGTAATATTAACAAAAAAAATTTGAAAGTTTACCACTGAGTTACATCCCCTTTATTTTTAATGACAACCACAATTCTTCGAGGCATAGTTTTTACCAAGTTCTGACAAAATTCGAATATAAATGAATCCCATATTTATTGCAATTTTACAACAAAAATATACAACCGCGCTAAACAAAGCGGTAGTTTTAATTGCTTATCTTTAATAGCTGGCAAAATGCATGATTTAGCTAAGCAATATTTTTTACTGATTTCCATGATTCATGGCATATGGTATTCTCACCGAAAAACAAATAAACTGTCGTTACTATAATTAAAATAATATAAAATAAAATTATCTTTTGTAAATACTATTTATTTAATTAAAATCATTTTCCCTACTTTTCATCTCTTGTTTCGAAAGGGCACTTTTGGTTAATTACGTTAAAAAACATTAATTTTAATTCATGTCTGTGGGAAAGAAAATACAAACAATACAACCCTGAATCGTGCTTGTGTTTGTTGTGCATTTCTTAACGTGGATCGCTCTATAACAGCTGTGTGCTTGGCTCAAGAAACGAATTATTATCAATACAACAATAATAATATTGTGTTATTGAAATAAAATTACTAAATGAAGTTGTCTTTATTAATGAATGTCGTAATAACTAGACTATATGTATGTTTGTTAATTTAGAAAACTCAAAAGAATAATAATTGTTTTTTTAGTTGTATATTTTCGCATTTTTAGGTGTGTTCTCGTCATAATGGAGCGCGGATATTGGTTGTAAGGGGAGAAAAAAATTTAAACACTTGTAATCTCATGAGGGAAGGTGGCAAATATGGTGCAAAAATGGATGCAGAATTTAACAAAGTTAAAGTGTTTTATGAAAATGAAAAGCCAGCAGATGTTTTGGGTAAGATAACGCTATTAACATTTGTCGTTTATTTTTATTAACTAGACGGTACGAAAAACCTGTACAACTTTATGCCCCCACTTGGTCAACTGCGATTATGTTTGAGATAAATTAGCAGTATTAAGATATAAGGAAATTTAGGAACACCACGTGATCGCTAATATTCTTAGGCGTAATGAACAACTGAATAGATTGTTCTCCATTGGAAACAAAGCTTCCACTCAAGTTTGGTCGTTTTGCATTATAAATAGTGCGATTTGCATTATAAATTATGTCTCGACTTCTAAAGAAGAAAATAATGAATGAATGAATTAGAACATATATTTATTATTTTGTGAATGGATGGACTAACTAGTTTAAAAAAAATGTCGATTAGCCTCAGATCATTTCGAGCATCAGATCGAGGCATTTACATAAAATATAATTTTATGTAAAAGTGAGAATGAAAATGTGTTATTTAATGTTCCTAGAAAATTCACTGATTTTTTTGTAAAAGTTCTTTTAGAAATAACCTAATTATTAATACCTATTAGTTTAAATATACGTAAATATAAAAATAAAGCATACTTGAATCATATTTATATTTAAAACGGTTAATAAAAAACAAATCTTCACAATTTTTTGCAAATAAAAACTAACTAATCATATAATAATTTAAACCTAAACATACGATCGAAAGAAATAGTTCCGAACTACTTGTACGGTAGTGAACTAGTGAAAGACTGACTGAAAAAAACCGAAGTAAACGGGCGGCCAGCGCCGAGCTTGTGTGATGATTGAGACGAGACATCTGGCAACCAGTTCTGTTAGGGTTGGATTTCGATGTCGGTCCTACAAATAGTTCTTTCGCGTACTAGTTCATTTTTGTGAAATAGTTCTATTGAACTAGTTCGTCTAAAAGAACTAATAAGCACACCTCTAGTATTTAGTTTCCAAACCCAGCTCTTGGACCTGAATGTACGTCTCATTCTCGCGAGATTGTCGTAGTGTAATGGTCGCGTAAAAGTTGTGGGTGTACTAATTTGTCATTTAAAAGATATGTGGTTTCTTTTTGTTTTTATCGTATTGTATAATATTTTTAGTCACTTCTGAAGTTGGAAAAAATTATGCAGGAACCAGAAGCAACAACAAAAACCCAAAAACCAATGTCGATGTACTGCATTCATTTTAAAAACTAAATTCTTTTTCAAATTTCCACATTGTTATATTAATTAAATTTTTTTAGATATGCTCGATGAGGACAAAGCCGAAGAGGAATTGGATAATAATGATAACGGTGTTGGACCTTCTAAAAAGTGGAAAAGAACCGACCATAGCTTTTATCCGAATGAAAATGTGCAACCGGCAGAAAATCATACACATCAAGAGACTGAACCTGTGCCAAAAATAAGACATTCCAAAAGACATTTAAAAGAATGGAAAGAAAAAGTGGATGCCCTACGCAAAAAGTTAGAAGGTAAGAGTTACATGTAACTGATATCTGTAATCGATTAGATAAAGTATCAGCATGGAACAAGTATTTTGCTTAGAGGATTATCTTTTAACACTTTGTTTCTGATATACCTATCAAGAAGCCTTTTCAGTATTTTTAATAGAAAAGAAGATAGGCGTATCAGTCTCTATGACTTTGGTGTTAGGTCTGATACTTTAACTACCTTAGGCAAGTATATGACTTTAACCTTTTACCATATTTCTGGTACGACTCCCCATGCTAAACTGGCATTGAGAAGCTTGCACAGCTGTGGTTTCAATACCTCTAATCCGATATGCAATAGTATTGAATATATTCCATCTGTCCCTGGAGACTTATATTGTAGCGTGGATGCGTAATAAACATCCTGCACACACAGAAAGTTCAAAACCAGAATCGCTCAATTCGGAGAGGAAGGGCGGGGCAAGGTCAAGTGTATAGAAATTAAATAATATCTCAAAAATCCAAACACAATCAGACAATTCGAAATTATAATTTATTATTGGACGCCACCACTTGTTTATCCTCGTAGGGGACGAGAGAGAATAAAAAAAAAGATATATAAAAAATTTACAGCGAAATTACACTTTATTATTTTTCAGTAATAAAAAGAAACATTAAAAGTTATGTTATTTCCAATGGATACTAAAATACCATTTCATAATTACATTAGTATAAACAAAACAACTTTATATATTTTTAAATCAAGAATTGTTTGATAAAAACAAATGAATTTATATATAATTCCCAAATTTCGAAATTCGTTTACATTTAAAATATTATAGTAGTCATTTATTAACTAGGCATAATAGAAAAGTTAAATCTTTAAACAAAATTTAAAACACTGCTATATTTTCTTTCTCTGAGTCCATAATTATTCTCGCTTTCTCGATAGGGTATAATAAAAAAAGAAAAGGTACAACCTTAATCGTCCATTAGCTGGCAACCATACACAAAGGATATGTTCTGCTTCCTCTCAACCTCCAAGCATTTCGTTAAATTAGTTATTAGGGGTCCATTTTTTTAGATCATAAGGATTATTGGGCTGCGTTTACGACAGCATAAGACTTCTCAGTTAACTTCGAGTCAAATAAACATAATTAATGATCTTTTATTGTCCCCGGTAAAAGAAGGTCTAAAAATAATTATTTATCTGAAAATATAGACAAAAAAGGCCTTTTTTCTTTGGCTTACCTCTATATAGAGACCACTTCACAAAAAACACGTCCTAACAGTTGGATGTTTGTAAGAGAAAAGAGACAGACGCTATCATTTCCCGGTTTGAATTGGGGCGTGATTGACAAGTTAATAATCGTTCTCATCTATCGGATAGGTTTAGAATTACAGTAGAAATCTTGAGTCGGCTACAAGTACCCGGCAGATAGATGGGGTTAGCAGTTTTATTTAAAAAATAATAATCGAATTTAAAATGAATTTCCTAAAACTTTTGAAACGGTTACAATATGGCCAAAACTTATTTATAGCCAATCTAATTCTGTTTGTCTATCTGCATCATCCAGGATTATTGAGCCCGGAAAGTGCGTGTTTATCAGCTCTCTAAGACTTTCCTCTTTGGTGTCCGTAAATTTGCCATTAGCTTTCTTTACGAAACCCACGCGTGATCTTTTTAAATTCCGGGAAACTTATTGCAACAAAAAATAGTTAAAATAATCCTTAAATTTGGTGTATATTTTTACTGCGATTTTGTCGTTTAAACCTTGTTTAATATTATTAAATTTTAAGATCTAGAACTTTGTGTTAAATAAAACGGTAATTAGATATTGATTTACATTATTTTTTTCAGGAAGAAGAAAGCGAAGTATTTCCGCACTAGATGCTCACATAAAACATGGTGGTAATGCAATGAATACTTCTGATGTAGACGGAGAAAGTGAGAGTAGCGTCTCTAGTTTTGAGACGGAATTACTTCAGTGTTATGATGGAAAAATATTACTTTCGAGCAGTTTTCAACACAGCAACAGGTTTTGTAACAGCACGCAATATTTAGATCAGAGCAACCATATGGTTACCGAACATACAGTAGCTACAGACGGTTATTATTATTATATATTTTATTCAGATAATGATATAGTTAAGAATGATATACATGTTGTGTTTAATATTTATAAAACAACCTACGGATTTAAAAATGATACGAGTGGAAAAGAATGCATTAATCAAACAGTTTGCGAATTTCCGATACATTTAATGTCTAATGAGATAGTGATAGTTGAAGTGCCTACGAGAGACGGAATAGAACACGAAGATGATGATATAACTTTTCTTACAAGTACTTGTAGACCTAGAATGGAGGTATATGTAATTTTTCCCATATTGGTGTTAATTTTGATAATGGTCTGTGCTTTTTTGTAAAGTGTTTTCGAAGGCAACAATTTTGAAAACCTTTTAAACTTGCCAGTGATTAAAAAAGTTATTGTTTTCTAAAGAACCGATACCTACATGGCCGTATAAAGCCAGCTGCTCAACCTTTCATTTAATATTGAAATTATTCGAATGAGTTAATGGTTTTTTGAATTCAATCGTGGTCGATTTTGTTAATATTTGTATTGTGCTAGATGCCGTGATTGAACTAGTGCTGCAAAATCGTCAATTGACTTACTGCAAGAGTTAGGCATATTTAAGCATTGGTTTAAAGGCCGGTTTTCACGCTACGGTTTCTTGTACGTTTTGTGTATCATATAAAAGTAGAAGTTTGTTTAGTGATTTTTTTATTATGAAGGAAACGCGGCTGCTTTCTTTTATTTTTTCAACTATACTGAGGAAAAATGGGATAAAGAGGGAAAAGACAAGATGATCAAGAGAGTGACTTCTGAAAAGAAGCCAGTATTTCCCACGTCTCGTTACTAAAAGAACTGATAGGTGAACCAGATGACTGACGCAATTATTTGCGAATGGACACCTCAGCCTATTGGCAATTGCTAGAGTTGATAAGACCATACTTAATTGAAACAACACAACTGCGTGAGAAAAGCCATTACACCCCATGAAAGACTCACAGCAACTCTCAGATATCTTGCAACAGGAAGCAGCCTCAAGGACTTGGAGTTCACAACCATATTCAAACCAGCGTTAAGCCAAATAATTCCTGAAACCTGTAATGCAATCTACTTGGTTTTAAAACAAAACGACTACTAACTAAATCTAAACTACTATTTGTTTATTAGTTATAAATAAATAGAGTCATGAATGTGTTGCTTGTGTGAGTCCATTTCAAATAGGTAAAGAAATAATAAATAAGACTTACTCACAATCATTTATTATAACTATCTAGTCTCGATAACAAAGTTAAATAAATAGCTGAAATAATAAACCCATATTAGGGTGTTATCTAATAAGATAACAAAGATAGATGATATAAACAGTAATTATGTAAAAAAAAATTTTTTCTTTAATTTGAACACCAAAAAGAATAAAATAAAACGTAAGCATTTTTTTCTCCTATTAAGACTAAAAAAAACTTATACGCGACGTTTTTGTTATTACGTCACTATAGTCTTATTTTCACTTACCTAAACACGGAAAAACTTATATAATATATAAATACTATAAATATATATATAATCCCGGTTTTTTTAGGCGTTTAACGCCCGTCCGTAGGATCTATGGAGGAGTATCACAGAGCCGCAAGCCCTTATCTCTGCCGTACTGCTCCACCATAGGCCATTGTTTATCTTTATTTTTACCGCAGTCAAAACCTGCTGCGTTAGACTTTTAGTTTTACTGTACACCGAGCTGGGGCTCGACCCACATCCACTAACCATTCGAAACAAGTGAAGCGAATAAGCTGCAGCCGCACAGCCCCGCTGAGCTATCTGACCGACGCGAAACTTTTATACAATTCAATAAATTCCCCGAAAAAATCGTGGGTGCATTGCTGCACAATCTGACATTGTTAGGCTTTTTTTGGAAAAATGAAGCGAATTGCAGTGAGCTAGTCGTCAACTGAGTCAAGATCGGACGACTTTGTCTGAACATGTGTTTTCACGTAACGTTTTATCCTCATCAGTTCTCGCAAAACTATGCTTCTCCCATCATTTCTGCGATCTGACCTTGGATTTCATTTCGATTCGACAAGACGTACGTTTCGCTGTTTACATGCCACGTTTTAATGTATAGGATTTGTCCTATCCAATAAAACGTACAATAAGATGTAGCGTGAAAACCGGCCGTTACTCTAATACAGTGAGTATGTCATGAATATTTATCTATCTTATATTTATCTAAGACAAAGACTAAATATATAGAATGGACATGGAGATTAAGAACAATAAGTGAGGAATAACAACAGTAGAAGGTTAAAATATACAAATTTGAAGATGTAGAAATATTTGAATACCCGGGAGCGACGTTCACCAGGAAACTTAAGGTGAGTTGCACACACACACCGATTTTGGACGGACGGTTTTATACCGGTCGTCCAAATTTAATTAGTGAACCACATATAAGAACTGAATCTGGCTTACACACACGACCGCTGATCGGTGCCGATGAACAGCCGGCCACTGTCACTGCATATCCGACAGTACAATAAAGTAGTGGAGTAGATGACTAAATACAGGCTTGCACACGCATCGATTTTTTACGGCCATTCCAGTCGATTGCTCGGTGAAATTGTAGGTACGAAGGAAACGACAGCACACACACACATACGATTAAAACTGGTTTTGGTAGTGAGTGTTATTACGATTTGCAATTAATAATTTTCATGGAGTTCATCAAATAATGCAATAGACATTCTAAAGAAGTTAAAAAACTTAGCACCATCACGCCTTAGTCCTTCAAAATAGTGTAGAATGTTCCTATGTGTTCTTTGCTTTGATTGATAGGATGAATCCACCACTTGCGCTTAATAGGCTAATTGTGCTGAATAGGACGATACAATAAATATATAGCAACAACTCGTTTAGGATTCATTATTATTCGGTACATACCGGTAAAAATCCGATAAGTCTGCAGCATCGAGTTAAAATCTATGAGGGCATCACGTGACTAAAAACGACCTAACTTCGGCCATACTGGTAGTATTGTTTTGAAACTTTCGACAGATCGTATATGTTTGATTACATTTGTTGTTTTTCGAATATTTTTAGTTTTATAATAATTTTATAGAAACTGTAATAATATTGTGATAGTGCATAATAATGGTTTCTTGTTCTCAACGTAGTTGCAGTAGCAAAGTAATGTTAATAAAAAATCTTCAGGATATCGTTCCACAGTTAGTATACAAATAGGTAAACAAAGTAATGGCCCGTACTTCAGCGAATAATTAATACTATCTGAACTGTATTAATTTATCTTTATATATAATATATCGTGTTTTTTAGTGTTTATTGCGGATAAATAAATCATAGTTTATTAAAAATGTATTGCACTTTTTTATTGCTCATAGCTTCTTCTCCATAGATTCTAACTCGATGGTCTGCAGGCACCTGCTACCAATAAAATATCGGCCGATTTTATACCGGCCGTCCAAAAATCGGTATGTGTGCAACTAGCGTAAGAGACGTAGGAAGAAATGGAAAAGAGAATAATAGTAGGCAATCGTCGCGTCTTTACTCATGAACAAATTACTAATAATTAAAAATATGTCAGAGTGAGTAAAGCTAAAATGTATAAGGCCTATAGTTTTGTACAGTAACCAAATATGGACAAAGAATAGACTAGAACAAATCATGGTTAGGCAATTGAAAGCGTCGATAGAAATAAAGCTTGGGAAAGGGAGATACGGCATGATTAAAAAGAAGTTTTTTTTTTGAGTATGAGAGAGAAAGATGGTTAGGAAAATATGTAGAGAAAGACGTGAATTGAAGTAAGGGTCTTCTTCTTCGTATAGTGCCTATCCGTTTCGGATGTTGGCGACCATCATGGCAATCTGTATTTTGCAAATGTGCTGCTCTGAAAGATTTGTGGGTTTTTGTGTTAAACCACCTACGTAGATTTTTCAGCCACGAAATTCTTCCGCCTTCCTGGTCCCGTTTTACTTCAACTTTTCCTTGAAGAATGAATTGCAGCAATCCATATCTTTCGCTGTTCCTCATGATGTGACCGAAGTATTCAATTTTGGTTGTTTTTATTGTGGTTAACAACTCTTTTCCTTTTTGCATTCTTATTAAAACTTCCTGGTTAGTAACGTGGTCGGTATAGGATATCTTCAGAATTCTACGATAAAGCCACATTCAAAAGCCTTAATTTTCTTACTCTTTCATGGTGAATTGCTTACCCCGGCAAACACTTGGACGTCAAAGCCTCGTTGGTTATCAATAGGATGCACCAGATGACCATGATCTAGATCATCATACGAGCAGGTGAGATTGATATTTGAATAGGAGAGGCTGTATGTTGCGCGTCACTATCCCACTACATCCCAAGAAAGGGTAAAAAGAAAAAAATCACAGTTGGAGGAATTTCACAAAAATGAAACTACTTAAAACCATGTTGCAAAGATGTAGATATAACTTTTTACTTAGATGGCTTTGGTAAAGACCAATTAGCCAGACGATTAGATAGAACTTAAAATCAGGAACTTGAAAAATAAAGATAAAAAACATGGGAGAGTGGAAAACGATAATACAATAATCGATGGCTTGAATCACTATCACCAATGATTTCATTTATGATATGGTACAAAATATCTTCTGGTAATGTTGATTAATTAAAACTAAATTACAGATTAACTATTCTCGATACCTGAAAGCGGTTGATGCATTTAGAACGCATTGAAAAGTGAATTAACGCTTCCCGCAAAATCGCTTCCTTAGAAAACAACAACTTAATTGTTTCCAGTATTTTCCAGTTCTCCATTAAGCAAGATTGAATAAACGTACTCTACTATTAAAGTAAATGTCTTACTTGGTATTCAGCACTAAATTTTCTTAACAGAGTGATATTCACGTTGTTTATTTTTATTTAAGATTTCAGGAGGGTAAATTATTTGTATTAGTGTACTAATTTGCAAAACGTACTGTTTAATAAAATGTTTTGTGATATTTTATATTCGTTGTAAAAAGATTAGACATAAAATACAGGGTGCGCTATTTGCAGAGATAATTTTTTGGAGGTAAATTGAGTTCTTTGGTCTGGATATTATATAAAGACCTACGATCTTCTGATTGCAACTCTAAATAGAAGAACTCACCTCAGTGATATTGTAATTGAGCATGAATTTAATGAAAATGTTAAATTTTAGATATTGTTGATCTTTGCATTAATTTCAGTGTACGTTGTTGTGTGTTGTTTATAAAAAATTGCACAGGGTATTTAATAGAACACAATAGATTTGAACATGTAACGTCTTCAGATCGATTTCACAAACGTTCATATATGTGATTTGAATTTTACAGTTGATGTCGCAT